CTGTTTGAGGGATGTGCCCTTAAAATCTGGAAAAATACTGTCTAGCTTCAGCCCTGGATCCGCCCCTGGAGATAGTTAGACAATGGCAACTATCTGAGTGAAAACTGTTTGTCAATCAATATATCAGTGTAAGTTGTGATTCACAATTTTTAGATCATGTACCTTCATTGTGATTAGCAAGACTTTATCAAATTTTCTTCAACATATGTTTAATCATTGACATTTTGTTGATACCATACACAATCAAACACTGTTGTAACAATTAAACTTGTTATGAATTCATCATTATATTTTCCTTGGCGAATCAAAACAATAGAACCATTTTACATAATTCTGTATAGGGGAAGCTCGCGCTGTTATTCATTCCCCTTCCTTGCACCTGACATTCAATATATAGTCTCTCTATACAGGCCAACCTCAATTGTCAATACCTTCACTTCAAAACTTCTTTTATTGCGCGCGCGCGTGCGTGCGTGCGTGCGTGCGTGCGTGTGTGTGTGACAGCAAATAGTGCTCAATAAACATCTAGCTATCTGTTTACTTCTTCATTTGTTATTTGCATCGTCCTTCTATTCACAAACGTCACTTTGAAAATAACATACAACATATGCACAATGACCTAGCAAGCACAAGCAGACCACTGTTTGCATTTCACACCCTAATTGTAAGGCCACTGACACAGTAGCTGGCGCTTGCGTTAATTTTCAGTAATTTCACATCTTTTGCAGTTTCCATCGCCATTTCATGTACAACGAATTTGGGGGTGATGGGCGTGCACGCACGTGAGACCAAACATGTAGATCACCGGTGGAATCTTTAGCTGGTGCATACCAGGGAGAATTTCCACGAGCCGGGCCAGGGTCCCCATGACCCACAGTGTAACACTTTGCAAACTTAAACATGTGCTATGCGTGAAACGCACGTGCAATGTGTTCGGAGAAAAGGGTGCGCAAAGACAACGGCAGAAGCTGACATCACAGCCTGGGAAGGCTTTCACACGTTTCACACGTTTCACAATTTACATCAATTTATTGATGTTTTTACACACTATGCAGCGTGCATACACGAATCATTTCGTCAACTTTGTGATCTGTTGAATAGAAAAAGCAACTCACGTAGGCATGCCCTGGACCGATAGTTATCTGCCAGTTTCACATGCAATGGATATCCACGTGCATGATACCTGCTAGGCGATATAACATATCCAGTAACAAAGTTTTTGTAAACAATTGATTAACAAATACTAATTAACTTTAGCAAACCACTCTTTTACAATTCATAAAAACGTCAATTTTGAGAATGCAAAGAAATGATCTCATGTGATGTTTTGACACCCACCCTACCTGACAAGTTCTACATGCTTGGACTCAAGAGCTTTGTCCTTCAGCAATATCAGCATCCCTGTGCTATCCAGAGAAATCTCGGCGTTACCAGTGCAACTAAGTCCATAGACTGGCTTAATGACCTGAAATATTTTGTGGCAGCTATTATAAGTAATGAATCCTCAATTTCAGCGTAGTTACGCTTCAAACTTCAACCACAGCACAAACTCTCGGACCGATTCCCCACGCTATAATGTGGTTGATTGCAGTCTTGACACTGCCCGTATGAAATATCGCACAATTCCCAGTGTGATGACTGAAGTTTTGATGCAATCATTGATGCATGTCTGAGTGGGCTATACTAAATTCTTCGGTATGAGTAATGGACTCCTTTGGCATGCTATGGGAAGCAGTAATTGTTTTGGTGTGTCATTGACATACGTGCGTGTGTTTACAGTTTATGTAATGAGTACTTGTTGTATGTTCCCTGTAAGCGGCTTTTTACTGAGCTGCTTTTTAATTTGCTGATTCAGATGTGTTGATTGTTGTTAACGATTATCTCAGCCAAAGCTGGTATCATGCGCTTACTCAATTACGAAACCTGAATGTAAGAGATTGTTTGTCATGTAATTAACCATCGTGTGTGTGCACTTTCAATTTCTCGTAATGGATTGTACGTATGTACGAATAAAGCCTGTAACCAGGATAACAGTAGCCATTGTAGTCCGATTCTTGGTGTAATTCTGCTGTTGTTCATGCTACCAGAAACGTTTGGAGATGGCTAACAACTAAAAAAATTGCAAGCTAAACATACTTGGTGTAGTGAACCATTTAAGATAGTGCATGAGGAGGATCCTGTTCTCATTGAACAACTTGATAGCTGCACACTAATAACAACAAGTGCATGGAGAAATTCTAATGGGGCTGCAGCAAGAGGTGTAGGAATAGTAGTTAACGACACTGCAGAAAAAGCACTGGCAGAAGTAGTACTGGTTAATGGCAGAATAATGAGTCACCTTCAATGGCAACCCAAGCACTACAATAGTCGTCAACTATGCACCATTGAAGGAAGCAACGACGCAGAGGAGCATTATGGAACACTGTCAGATGTTATCAATGAGATACCGAAACACCATGTAATTACCTCCGCCCACGGAGTTAACGGAGTGGAGGGGAGGTAATGTAATCGGTCTCGTGTGTGTGTGTGTGTGTTCAGTCCGCGCGGCGCGATTGATAGCGCGTCGAGTCAGCGAGCGGCGAGTCAGCAGCAGGTGAGTGAGTCAGCAGCAACCACCAGCGAGCGGCGAGTCAGCAGCCGCCACCAGCGAGCGGCGAGTCAGCAGCCGCCACCAGCAAGCGGCGAGTCAGCAGCAGGCGAGTCAGTCAGCAGCAGCCAGCAGCGAGCGGCAAGCCAGCTCGTAACACATACATGTTACATTCTGGCGGAGGTATGCACTCTCCGTGAGTGCCCTCTGTCTAGTTATAGAATGTGGTGATTTCAATGCTCATCTGGGTGAGGATACTGTCCGTCACACCTTCCACACGCAAACCAACAAGAACTATAGCAGCTTCAGTAGCTTAGGGAGCGACCATCGACTAGTGACCGCAAGAATACGTCTTAGCCTACGTATGTGCAAAACCCCTGCAAAGAAGAAAAGCTACGAATGGTCTTCATTACGGAACACAGAACTCCAGGAGCTCTACACAGTCACTGGGCAAAACAGATTTACTGAACTATCCAACGACAGTGATAATGTTACAGAACAGTATGGCAAATTAGTGCAAGTAAACGCAGAAGCTGCAGAGAAATTGCTACCGGTAAAGAAGAGGATAAGGAGAAGAGAGATTGCTGATGACCCTCGAGTAGAACAAACAAGGAAGGAAGTACAGGATGCATTCACCAACTATCAAAATGATGCCAACACAGAGTCGCAACAACATTTGCAAAAGAGGAAAGAGGAACTAAAACAGGTGTACCAAGATATCCAAGAAGAGGAACTGGATGAAATGATCACCCAAGTTAAAAATGCAGATGCAAAGAGTAAACATGGAGAAAGCTGGAGGCTGATCAATTCTATCACTGGTTGAAAAAACTGCGAAACAGGGAATCATCAAGGGAAAGTCTAGGGAGGATAGAATCAAGCAGTGGTACACTCACTTTCAACAACTGCTTGGAAATGTACTGAAAACTCAATGAAGCTCTGTACACTACATGACACCGGTCACCAATGGCACCACCTGTGACTGTCACACTCAGCAATTTGAAACAATGCCTGCCTGCCTGTTTTAAGATGTCACTCAACCATTTCCCTTTTCACTTTGTATTTTGCTGGTACACTGTCGGCTAGTCTGACGTCCACTACTCACCACATCTCTTGCTAAGCATCTGCTATCTAAGGATCTGCTTCACTGATGCCTTAAACTGTTATTTTGTAATTCAATGATAACCCTTACAGAAATTACATGGTAATAAGCCCGTTACTATGATCTTCACCTTAGCCATTAAAGTTTCCAACAGCTGACATTTTTAGTTAATGCCAGAATCATTACAACATCTTTTTCTAAATTAACTCATCTATGTATGAGATAATACCTGACATAGACAGTAACGCCATCTGTCAGCAGATTTAAAAAAATGTGTAAACAAACTAACAGCCATGATTGCGATCATTCTACGAATGACACTCTTGACCAGTGAAATGTTTAGGATTCTGCGTGCACATGCCCTTTCTTAGCAGGTTCTGTCTGGATTCACCGCCACAACACTGTTAGCAATACGTGACATTAAAGGGTTCAGTTGATCCGTTCCTAGTTCATGCCACTGTTCATAGAGGAAATTCTCCACAATTTCATCAGCCGTTCCATTCTTTTCAAAATAGTTAGGAAGGTTGAGCGTGAGCAAGTACACCATAGAATTCCTTGGCGCATGTATGTTGTCGCAAAAGCCATAGAGGAGCTGCGATGCAAATGCGGGCAGTTTCTCGATGCTGTCAATGATAATCACACGCATGTCCTCCTTTAGGCCTTCAGACAGCTTTTCTTCTAGATCTTTCTTTGTGTCGGCGACGCTCATCTTCGCATACGTCTGGCAGTCAATGCGCTGCACAAGGTCAGAGTTCGTCGTCAGTGTCTCGATCACACGTGAGATTTTACGCACCAGGCAGGCCGACGTGCCCCTGGCTGAGGCGTCCGACGCAAACAGTAGCACAGCCGGTGATGTCGGCTTCGGGTGGTGCAGTGAAGCCTTCACGGCGGTCTTTATCACCACCCATCCTCGATGCGACTGCTTCGGGAAGCTCTCTTGCATGTCGTTGATGCTTTCACTGAACATGGTGTAATTAAACTGCAGCTTGTGTGCAGTAGTCTCAGTCACCCTCAGGTTATAGAACGTATAGAACAAAACTATACCAGTCATTATGATACATCCCACCGTGTACAAGTTCGGAATATCCGATTTAGGAGTCGATCTTTTTACCGGTTTCTTTATTTCCTTCCGTTCCTTTTTTGGGGTTGAGGGTGACCTACTCTCAGCTATAGGCCTCCTACTTGTAACTGCTGGACTTGAACTGCTGTCCGCACTTGTATTCAGAATGGATGTAGATTTATCTATAGGTATGTCAAGATGACTGCCGTTGCTGACACTTTCCTCTGAATCACTCATTTTTTGTATGGCCAGCAGGTACAGGCAACCTAAAACAAAGATAACTGAAAATCACAGGTGGGCACAAATTAATTTTAAATTATACAATAGACGTGATCTATTTTGTTGTTGTGCAAAGTTTTTTTTTACGTTATAGCAACGATGGCCCATCGTAGGGTACTGGTATCTCCATCCGCGGGTTACGGCACTTGGCCACAATCTATCAACAAACTAGTCATACAGTTACGAAGCTGATGTCTCATCCACTTGTTAGACCTCGAGTATTACCGGTTCCTGGCTCTTAGATGTTAGACTTACTCAAAATATTAGAATGACCAGGCTGCAAAACTCCTATCGATGTATGACAGTTACCTAAAGCTAACCGAACGTCTGCATTCACTGAATAATTAGAAACTCTATTTGGCCTACAAAATTTGATCCTACAGATTTGATATCTCTATTAATTTTACTCACAGTCTAGTTAGATTTATTTTGCTAGCATTATTACAATACATACATCATAATTATAAAAATACCTAGCCTAAATAAATTTAATATAATCTACTCTATGTGAATTAAAAACTGGCTAAAAATGGTAAAAACCACCATTCACATTGAACTGCATTTTACTCACTGATCTGGATAGCACTTATGCTGTGCCCGATGTAAATGATACACCTGCGTTTAGATCTGTGATCGAGTGTGTTAGGTTTTTGAAGGGATGCTGCTTTAGCATGTAGGATATTGCTATTATATATATTAATGTGACTGGGTATACTTGGCAGCTTACTGATTTCATGTGGCACCATAAAAGACTAGTGGGCACATTGTCAGAGTAGCATGGTATACACCTCCCCAAATCGCAAATGTCCTGCCTCTACTTTGCACATGCACATGTCTAGGTGTACCTGTATAGTCCTACAAACAACAGTATTGGAAAATGGCGATGAAACTTCGCAATATGACCCGCAATACTGTAGCTGGTGATACAATAAATAATATGTTAGCTCACGAAAATAAATCTCCTGACTTTAAACCTGCCACTCTCGAATCAAACTCAACTCACAGTAATTTGGCTATATTGGGGTGTTTACTGCTGCCTCAAGAAGCATGGGGGGCTAACTGGTGCCTGTTCACTAGCACTGCCACTATTTAAATCAAACATGACCGCATATTTGTGATTTTTGGTTCATGTGTTTGACAAACAGAACCACCTGGCCAAATTATGGTGATTTGAGTTTGATTCGAGAGTTTTATTTTGCTGGCTAGGGCATTGTTCTGTTCATGGGCTACAGCTTAGCATGCCATTCTACAAAATTTACTTGCATTTTTCAGCTCTGTTGCTCGGATAGCTGCTGTACTAACGCAGTAACGGGAGCGAAGGGCTATATATAGCATTATAGGTAGAGCTTTTCTTGAAGGTACTATTCCTGGAACTTCTTGGAATCGTAAAGCTACTGTTGGTCAGTGTGTATGGCTATAAGTGTAATGTTGCAACTTGACCACAGCATAAATAAGTGTGTTTGTAATAGGCCTAGGCCCTAGGCTAGGGCCTACTCTACTGTCTGATTACTGTTCAGTGTTCCTTGGACCTTGGTTACAATAAATTATTAAATAAGTATTTCCTCCTACTGTACTAGTAGTAGTACTACTAGTACTACTAGTACTACTAGAAATGGGATACAATCTGCACTTTCTATTTCATGTGCACATGTACCTTAAAATAATGATTCAGCGCAAAATGTCCGTGTGTCTCAGTCTTTGATGTTACTTACTGTATAATAAGCACGTAGCGTATGTTGATTGTTGTTTACGCGTTATCATCGGAGGCCGCCATATTACGCATATTATAGACTGGTCCACGCTCGACAGTTCTACTCGCCTTACACTGAGGCATCAGTATAACGCGAGAGGAATTGTCGAGCGCGGACAAGTCTACTGATGCTATGTCTGGTGCTGCCACGTAGTGGAAAAGACTAGAAAACCACGATTAGAAAAGGCATTCACGTATCTTTCCGTACTTTACTCTTCACTATGCTCTTCAGAATCCAGACTCGAACTTCGAAGTGATTCTATCGAAAATATTTCCTGAGCGCATTCCTGCAATTTCAATCCCTTAGCTTAGGGTCATTTTCAAAATAGGCTCTTCGTAGCCGTCCAGCGTCCTCATGGCCATGCATTGCTACGTAGGCTAAAACGTACACTACAGTCTGCAGTACAGGCTGGAAGTGAGAGCCTTTCCTTTAATACTAATACTAATAGGCTTTATTAAAGTGAAGTGAATTCCTTTATTTACCCAATGACAATACGATTGTTATATTTTGAGTTAACGGGCCACTCGCTACTACTTCATACTTAGTATTATAAGTATAAGATAGCGATGAAGTGGTGGCAAATAGCAAAATTGTCCCTTTTACTTTTAGTTCTTATTCTTGTGTTACAATCAAATGCTCTTGAGCCGATTACCTCGGGATTGGTAGTGGGTGGAGCTCTTGCAGCCTTGGCCACTAAATATGGTTGGTGTAGGTTGGGTGAATGCTGTGATGCGACGTGGATTCGACCGGACGTATCGGGTATATTTCAATATCTTCTTGCTACACTTAAGCTGTGGACCCACTAGGCGATTTTTCAGGCGATTGAGTCGGGCGACTCAATCACCTGAAAAATCGCCTAGTGTGTCCAGTGAGTCGCCAGCGATTCTCATTCGCCCGAATCAAACATGTTTGATAAAATCGGGCGATTATTTGAGTCACGCAACTATATACAATGTGCGCCTGAACAATGCGATACTAAACAATGCGATTATACAATGCTCTACTACGCGCTCCCGAATGTACGATTCATCAGCCAATCAAACGGTGCCATTTTCAAGCGTGTGACTATCAATCTAGGTGGCGCGAGATGAATCGCCGATGAATCGCGCTGAAAATCGCCTAGTGTGTCCACTGAGTCGCCCGACTCAGTCGCCGCTCGACTCAATAGCCTGAAAAATCGCGTAGTGTGTCCACAGCTTTACTGACTTATTGTCAGTGACAGTTAGTGTTATCATCTGTGATTATTGAAAATTCTCATAGCGTATGTCACCTGCCAATTTCGAAACCGCCCTCACTGGTTCAAGGATAGAGATGATGTCCAGGACAGTGATTGGATAGGATGATGTTTATTACTGGACATGCTCTCTATCCTTGAGCCGTATCACTACCTAATACTTCAAGGGTACCTGTTATAAATTAATATTATTTGGTAGGAAGGCTCAGTAGAAAACATTCTGAGCGTACAATAGGGGTGCACCTGAACTTGGATCCGGCCGGAACCGACTAAAACCAGGGATACTGCAACATGCAGGTTTTGCCACACAATTCGCTCACGAAATAGATGCCAGTATTATGCACTGTAAGCAGATGATTCATACACCTAACAACCATCCTGTAATTAGAACTTTGTAGCATTGAGAACAATGAGAACAATGTAGAATGTGAACATGTAGACAATGAGAACATGTAGACAATGAGAACATGTATATAATGAGAACATGAGACATAATGAGAACATGTAGAACAATGAGCATTGTCCTACTTGCCTGAGTGATGTGCCTGCTAATAATATTTCATTAATTTTATAATATATAATATGCAGGCCGAGTGAGTTTGCGCAATACTGGGCCAATTAAAACTGTCAAGTTTATTCCCAACTTAAGTTCCGGTTCCGGCCAGAACTTTTTTCAAGTTCTGGCTGGTTCTGAACTTCTGGTTCCGGTCGGAACTTAAAAAGTTGGATCCGGTGTACCCCTAGCGTACAATAAGGTTTTCTCGAAACTAAATTTTGCATGTTAGTTGCAGGGTTGTGAGCGCACATGTCTTGGTATGCCAAAAGTGTTGAAAATTCATAAGATGGCGGGAATGCTTGTTTAACTTTTAAAGGGACACTGTCTTGTATTTAGGTGGTCTCAGGCACACTCATTCTGGCCCAGAAGCCTGCCAACCGGTGATTAGGGGCTTGCACGCACTTTCTTAATGTCGACCTCGTAGCGCATCTTGCTAATGCTGTTTGTTACCGCTTTGCCCGCACACACATGGATTAATTGTTTTTGCACACATAATCTGCTAAAGTTTGCATGTAATTGCAGCACGTGTAAATGCGTGACAGAATACATGCCAGTACCTAAATGCCAGGTCGTGTCCTTTTTAATAGCGAAAAGTCGTTCATCATTCAACCACTGTGACTTCTTCACAACCACATTCTGCAAACAAATTTTTATTGCACACAGTCACAGTGTCATTCAATTACTAACACTAAGACTAATATAGTCTTTTCATTTTAGTGTACTCCAAAAATTAATATACTCTGCCTAACGATTACATTTTTATTTTGTAGGTCTTGCTGATACTTTAAAGTCCCGAGTTTATGGGCAACATTTAGTGTTAGGTACTGCAGTAAACGCTATCCAAGCACATGTGCAAACGAAGAATCATAAAAAAGCTCTCGTTCTTTCATTCCATGGTTGGACTGGAAATGGCAAAAACTATGTGAGTATATAATTTCAAGTAGATATCGACATTCAACTGCTATTTCACAATTAACATCATATATGAAAACACGTTCTAGCTCGTCTGTTTGGATTTAATCACGAATGGTTCCAATAAGATAATTTAGTGCGTCAAATTTAACATAAAATAACCCAGTGTTGTGTTGGTTATGACTTACTTTAAGAACATGTAGGTAATTTTTAGTTAAATTCTTTCAGGGTGTTCATCTGGGTCATTCTGTCCAGTACTTGATATTTAATTTTGAGAAAAATAATGTTTGTGAATTTTGGGTGGTTCCGTTTTTGGTTAAATTACTGAATAAAGCAGAGTTTGGTAAAATGTGTTTGTCATCTTGAAAAATACAAGGCAAAATTGTGAAAATGAGGCCAACCTCTCTCAAATTGCAAACTTTAACTTTCATCTGACCCAAATCTGGCCATAATAAAGCCCTCAGTTTAATTAAAAGTGATGTGAAGTGAAGAAAAGGTCCAACAGACCGTTCCAAACTAGTAGTAAGAGTAGGAATGCACTTGAATATTAAAGGAAATATACAAATCTAAGCAGTAGACCTTTAGTTAAAGGGACAGTAGCCTCTAGGATTTTACTGCATACAACTGTACTTACTGTATAACAAATCGTCTATACCCACACGTATTTGTTACCAGATACCTAATTTAATTGTTATAATTAAGTACACATCAACGCTACAAAATTTGAACGGCGCCATGACACCCGCGACCGTGCTGCCACCCTGAAAAATTTGCGTATTTGACAATTTATTTTGCACATTACAGACCGAGGGCTAATCACAAAAGTGCAATTATTTTTATACCTAAAATCCTAAATGCTATTTAACCAAACGATATTCATTTTAGGGCAAATTTATCCATATTGTAACTGAAACTATATGTCGTTTATAAGATATTACAATCCTTTTGCTTTTAAATGAATAAATAAGAAACACCCTCGGTCTGTAGTCCTTGGCTGGAAAGTGGTTTTACGCAACTTATCAGATCGTGCACTTTGAGTGGCTCCACCGTCGTTGTAATCAAACTGTAGTCGTTGGTTTTAAAACATTTTTTAATAATATTTCTAATGGTGATTGAACCATGAAACTTTTTATGTAGCGTAATTTTAACCTAAATTAACTGAAAATAACCTTAGAACCTAGAGTAAACGATCCCTTTAAGCTTGTTGTTTTCTTCTAGGTCAGCAGTTTTATAGCGGAGCATTTGTATGTGAATGGAATGAGAAGTAAATATGTACACTTATTCATAGCTGAACTACATTTTCCACACCGTGCACAAATAGAGACATACAAGGTAACTATATTTATAAAATATTTATTAAGGGGACATGTTTGAAATTGCTAGCAAGCCTATATAACCAGATATATTAAATTTTTTAGGTGCTGCTTTTTTAAATTGGCAGGCACATTGAAAGTTCAAGTGTGTGCATGTACTGCTGCATGAATACACATTGGTATTTAGCTGTAAACAATATGTGTTTTTTTGCCATTTTACATATGCGTAAATAACTGAAATTAAATTTCTAGTTCTCATTTCTACTATGACATGTTGTACTGATATTTATCTGTAAAAGAGCTAGGTAGGAAAGATGAATTTCTGTCATGCATAGATGTATATATATGAGGATGTAAACTGGTTGTGAAATTAATATATGCTTTATTGGAATCAAAATGAGTTACATCTTCACATATTTGTTAAGCTGCGATAGGTTTTAGTCATTATTCATTTTTCTGAAACGAAATTGCTCTATTTTATTACTAGAGATGCAATGAATTAGTGAAATAACTTTGATATATATACGACATTTCAGAGTCAGTTGCGGCGCTGGATTACTGGCAATGTGACAGAGTGTAGCCAGAGCCTATTCATATTTGATGAAGTTGACAAGATGCATCCTGGTATCATAGATGCCATCAGGCCTTTTATAAGTCACTATGCAGAAATTGATGGTGTGGATTATAGAAATGCAATATTCATCTTTCTGAGGTAGGAGCCAGAAATAATTAGTTGCAGTAGTTTCCATATATAGCTAACAAAATGTCATTTCACGCTCTAACTGTTTTACAAGTTTTTGTTATATATTTTTTTTTATTGAATTAGCAACACAGGAGGTAACGATATTGCAATAAAAACATATGCGACTTGGGAGGCTGGGAAAAAGCGAGAAGCAATTACAAGAAAGGAAATGGAAGAAGTCATAACAGCCTCTGCATTTAATGAGCAGGGTATGTTTGTGCTCCATAATTACTGGCGATAGAATAATGCTGAGACTGCTGACTAAATTGTGATATTTATATAGTATTTATATTTGGTATTTTGTATTTATGAGGTAGACATTGTGCTTTGTATTACAAAAGTAATATAGTTACAAGTTCTTTTTAAATATCATGATCGGAGGGGTGGTGATGTGGCAATATCATCATTTATGCATGAGAACTTGAGAAAGAACTACTACACAGACCTATCAGTAGCAAGGTTTTCACAAAATGGGAGATAGTTAGACAATGGCAACTATCTGAGTGAAAACTGTTTGTCAATCAATATATGAGTTTAAGTTGTGATTCACAATTTTTAGATCATGTACCTTCATTGTGATTAGCAAGACTTTATATAAAATGTTCTTCAACATATGTTTAATCATTGACATTTTTTTCTGCATTGGTATCAATAGGTAGACATTGTTTAATTAAGTTTTTCTTGTTATTATGCCTGCTTTTTTTCAGGTGGACTATGGCATAGCAGCCTAATTGAGTCGGATGTGATAGACTTTTTTCTACCATTTCTGCCAATGGAACGCAAGCACGTGAAGTTGTGTATAAAAGACGACCTTGAAACAAAGGGTCATCGTGCTACCGAGGAAATCTTAAACAGGGTAGCTAATGAACTGCTGTTCTACCCAGACAAAACCAGACTGTTTTCCAAGTCTGGATGCAAGCGAGTGTCTCAAAAAGTGGATGTTGTGCTCATGGAGATGGAAAATGATTATAAATTGTATATAGATGCAATCTAAAAATTAACCATGCCAATGATCATTAGTAGTAGATGTGCTCTCATATAAACAAGTGACCATCAGAACGTTGTCAGGTGGCACTGTAGAGTGATTGCATTGCTGCTTTGCAAAAGCTGGACTATATATTGTATCCATCTCCTGTTTGTCATCAAATAATGTAATATTGAAACTTTACATATGTGCATCATGTATATGTCATCGTGGTCCTCTTTAATAAAGATGGTGTGATTATCAATCTCTATATACATTACTCAATTGAAACTAAGAGGACACCATAACTGACGTATGTAAGTAACAATATTCGTATAACTCGGATGTGTAGGAAAAAAGTAAACTACTTGACTTATCTGCCTATAGTGGTTGATGGGTAGCACTATCTAATCACTGTTGAGATGGTATTCTTAAAATTGTGCTAAGTAATGAAGTGCTAGAAAGCCACCAATTTGATGTGCACGCAATTTGATGAAAATCACGTCAATTCGTCTAGTCGGACAGAGCTACCAACATTATCCAAGGGGGGTGTGGTTATCTTGCTCTGATGAATTAGTGAAGTCAGGGGAAAACCCACCCACACACGCACGCACATACGCACACGCACACGTACACACACACTCACAGTGACACGCACACACGCACGCACACACCTCCATAACATTATCGCTTTTAACCAACAGACAGATAGTATTGCTCTTAATTTACCCTGTCAGGGTTGAATTTGAATTGAAAATCTCAATCCAGATAGATTTTCACACGATAGGAAAATCATTTACTTTGCCCTAATTGCGTCTGTCTTCCAGTTTGTTGTGAAGAAGTTGCAATAATTTCAAAGTCACTTGGTGACGCTCAGAGGTTTGACATTATTCCAGAAATGCAGCTGTTATACAGCGGACAAACGTGGTGATTTCACAAGAGGAACCGTGACAGATGTCGCAGCATTTTATCCGAATATATTATTCGTGGTTCTATGGAAAATGAATGTCGATGAATTCAGACGTCATTGCCAAGTGTCGAATCGATCTTCATGTAAAGCATGGCGTGGATTATGATTAGGCGCGAAGTATCCATTGCCACCTGAAGTGCGATCATTCACACTCCTGCAGCAGTTAACAGTGGTTTTTCGCGTGTTGATGTCGAGCAGCAAACAGCTGATAAATGACGACGTAAGCAAAGAGTGACCTCCGAAATCAAGAGCACCTGAGACCGTCAAGTTTATTACATTTATAAGGATACATATAGAGAGCTGCAGCAATGTACAGCTTCATAATGAACGCCAAAATTGTGTTCCTCGCATTTGCTTCGATTATGAGACGACCATGTGCTTATGCTAATATTAAAGGGTTGCCTGCTGCAAGTGACCCCACACAGGTAGCAATTTCTAAACAAGAAGCTGCTCTGTTTCACAATGTGCTTCAAACCAGACACAAAGACTTTGATGCTGTGCTGGCTCTTATGACTGCTGCACAGAACAGATGGGCAGAGGGATACCAACGGCCAAAATTGGTGAGTTTCTGAATGTGTGTAGTAGGGGTGGCAACAGATATTGCCTTACACGGGCTCACGGGCAAGATCCCGAGGGGTCTAAGGTCCCTAACGGTTAGAGGGGGCAGGGGTAAACTCACATTGCGAGTAAGGGGCCATGGGCTATATCTAAAACTATAACGTATCCGAGTTTTTATCCATATTTGTAGGTCCAGAGTTGCACCTTGAGCGGTTTTATCAGGAAAAATGTTAGGTCTGTAACTGCTTATATGTTGAATATAGCATATATGCAGTACTGCCATTCATCCTGCTAATTGTTTTCCTAGGTTGTTGCAACTAGCACAGCAGTACAGATACAGAGCGACTGCAGAGCTTTTTCATAGATCATGCCCAGCGAGTTATTTTTCCTGACAGGGGTAGGTGGCCCAGCCTCCATCACTGGGACGGAGGGGTATGCGATCAGCTCGGGTCTAGTTCTATGGCTCTCGTTGCCACTGCCACACATGTGTGGCCTTGCTGTTTTGTGAAGTATTGTCATGGCTGTTTATATGGTAGCATCAAAACGGTCCAGTGTAATGATTTTTCATGGTTTGCACAGATGGAAAGTGAGCTAGACATACTATACCAAGGAGACATTGTTCTGAATTTGAAGCAAGCACGGCACCTCTTCGAGAAGAAAATAGGATTGAGGAGAAAAAGAGCTGCAGGGAACAGTAAAGTTAGGAAACAATCTTCAAGGGGTAGATCTAAGTCTAAGTCACGTAAACCAGTAATAAATCTTGAATCTGCAGGCATGCCGCTTCAAGCACCAAAAACTAGTGTTGGTCGATCACGGTCGTCTCACGCTAGGAAAATGCTACCTACAGTTCAAACTACGGTACATGGCTCTCAATCAAAGACCACTATTGTACAATCACAAGTATTTGATGTTTCTCTAACTACCCCTTCTGTTCTGTCAGCAGCTGTTGTTACTGAGAGAGTTTCTACCATTCAGTCTAATGATCCTGGTCCTCAGTCAAAAGTTCCTGCAGCTCACACTAAGGCGTTTGTTCTACAGTCATATAGTCCTGTTCAAATTAAGACTACTGCTCTCCAAACACAGGATTCCAGTGTGCAGATGACGTCACCTGTCGTTCAGACTAACGTTAATGATATCACGGACGATACTTCAGTTGTACAAGGGGATGTTCCTGTTCAACATGAACCCCCCATCGCTCAGTCACTAGCTCCTGATGTTCAGACTACTCCTCCATTAACTGAGACAAAGGCTCCTGTTACCACGACCGATACTTCAGTTGCACAAGGAGATGTTCCTGTTCAACATGAACCCCCCATCGCTCAGTCACTAGCTCCTGATGTTCAGATTAATACTGTTAGCGTTGATACCGAGGCATCTGATATTCAGTCACATGTTACGGCTGTACAACCCAAGAAGCCTGTTGTTCAGCCAGAGTTTCTAAATGTTAAGACAAATCCTCCATTAATTGCGGAAAAGACCCCTGTTGTTGTCCAGTCAAGCGTTGCGCAGCCTGTTGCTGATGTAATATCACAGTCTAGCGATGGAGGTTTTCGTGTCACATCAACACAGCATCCAGTAGCGTATGAAGCAAGTGGATTTCAATTAAAAGCCATTGGTGGTTTTATGAGGCCACGGTTGCATGTCGATGAGCCCTTGGGTGGCATCGGTGCAAATCTACTGAAAACCCAAGTGGGAGTACCAATCAACGTGACGTCCGTTGATGCTGAAGATGATGACGCTGATTTGCCTGTACCAACTGACATGTGGACGATGCCAATCTCTTACCGCATATATGACCTTGGTAGGTAAACATTTCTCACGTTACCCTTTCTATTTTATGCATGTAATCTCATGGCCATACGTTGCCATAACAAACCTTCCCCCATTATATTTGTTACAGATGAGAAAGCCAAATTGTTGATCAAATCGGCAGTCCAACTCATAGAGCAACAGACATGTGTGCGGTTTAAGGAGATGAGCAAGGGAAGTAACCAGAGGGGAGACAAAGGCTTGATAGGATTCATTCATGGAGAGAGGTAGGATGTGCAGCAATCAATATAGTAATATTGTTTTCACTATTTATAGTTATAGAAAATTGTTCCTATTATTTGTAGGATTTCCAATCCAGTTTGGAAATGTGTATTTCGTTAAATTGGTTGGCAGCACAATAACGCTGGAAATTACTGCTAAGATTGGCTGGAAATGTGTCCATGATGCTGAATTAGATAACTTTCACCTTGCCTGTTGAATTTTTCTGTTAACGTCACTGAGCTATCGATTGCCAGTTCTCCCGTTATTATGGGAGACAATATTGTTGACATAGCTTGGTATGACTTGATATTTGTAATTCATAATGAACAACAGCCCTCATGCACAGCTGTTACAGATTGCCCGTTGATTACAATAAAGTATAGTGGTGAAATTGATGAATTGCAATAGTCAGGGTATAACCTGCTGCAGCACAACAATTTATTTATAGGCCAGCTAGCTATACACCCCCACGTAACACACACGCCCCCCCCCCTGTTTATCCGAATATCTCACGTCCTGAACATGTATAGTTGTGCAAGCATCAGGAACATGTTTTGTTGTGATATTCGTCATAGCAGATTTTGTACACGTGTAGATTGTCACCTTTATTGTTTACTAGCAAAAAAACCACCATTGCACTGGAAAGGCAGGCAGGCAGGCAGGCAGGCAGGCAGGCATGCAGGCATGCAGACAGGCAGACAGACAGACAGACAGAGAGACAGAGAGACAGACAGACAGACAGACAGACAGACAGACAGACAGACAGACAGACAGACACAGACAGACAGACAGACAGACAGACAGACAGACAGACAGACAGACAGAATGTAACAAAGAGTGTGGACTGGTGCAAAGTTTCCTGTGCTGGACGAATTGTCGCACATCTGCAGTGGAGCAGTGCTTTGAGGGAGCCAAGCCAGTCTAGGGCTCATTCCACGTTATTTAAATATATAGATTTGCCCAATCAAGGTTAATTAAATTTCATAGCCTTGTTGTAGTAGCAGCAGAAGCAGCAGCAGCAGTCATAGTAGCCGCAACAGAGATAGAAAACAGAGAACAGTGCCTAACGTCGTACTCTGTTTAACATGTTATAATATGCTATTTTCAGATGCTGGTCCTGGGTAGGAAAGCAAGGAGGTGAACAAGAAATATCACTCAGCAAAGAATGCCTAACAGTATTTCATTTTTTTTATCACGTATTTGATGCAATAATTGGTCATCCTAAATGGCATTGTTAAGCTGTCAAGTGACCAAAAATTGAAAGTGACCATCATTATAGGGTTACTACATATTTTCTGTTAAATCAAGTCTAAATTATATTCCATACAAACTTTTGTGGTTCAATATTGGTTAGAAACATTTGTAAATGTTAAAACATTAAACATTTTAAAAACCGTCAGTCGCCGTTACAATGTTGGTTGTGCCACCACACACCCACTAACGAAGTTGAGCTACAAAAATTTACAGCTGCAGGCCACAGACCGAGTATGTATCTCGGGGGAGTTCAATATAAATATAGTTTTACTTTTGTAGTTAGCTCCTGGTCTGAAACATGCAAGATAAAAATTTAAAAGCACAACTTTGTCAGGGTATGAACAACAGTTATACGGTGTCATGGTTGAAGTTTTGAAAATGATTTTCATGTTGCAAGAACGTTTTAGTTTATAGCAACTATCATTATTATGCCAAGGATTATTATTTGAAAATTTGGGTCGGCTGATCTGTAAACCAACAAAATAAAAAATTCTCGCCTAATGATTGTTGTCTTGCATGTGGTTATTGCATACTACTGGTGGCATACTAGTGTTGTCTCTTTTTATGCAGGCAGGCATGGTCTTGCATCTACTGGGACATGCCCTCGGCATGTGGCATCACAACTCACACAGTGATCATGGTTCCCACCTGATAAAAGTCACTGATAACATAGCCACTGGCATGGAACACAACTTCCTCATGTTTAAAACACACGCCCAAGAGTCTCCATTCGATGCTGGAAGCATCATGAATTTTATGGCGGAGGTACTATGCTCGGGTCAATGAATCTATATTGTAATGTAGACATAGTATTTTTTGCATTTTATATGTTTTGATTAGCTCAGCTGACAAACTCATATGCAGCTTGTAGAATCGCCGAATTGTCGAATTTGGGGGGTCAATGGTCAAAGGTCAAGATGTGTCAATGGAGGGAATATTTCCCCCTTAACTTAAGGTATAGGAGGAAATACGGAATTGAGGCACAAATCTCAACGGCTTGTCCTACGCTCTTAATATTCGATGTATAGTGTGATGGGGAGGAAACCCATCACCAGCACGAAATTGGAGGTCACATGTCAAAGGGCAGTGGGGGAAAGGTCAGATATCAGACATTTTCTGAGGACATGCGGTGGCAGGAGGGCGCACTTGATTCGGTTGCCAGTGAGTTTATCAGAAGAATACCTGGCTACAATACACGTCAATTGAGCGCTGTTGCTCTGCAGCACTTGTTTGATTTATGGGGGACATTACCAGGGGTAGAAATTAACTTTGGAACAAGGGAGTCCAACGGACTCCCTGCCCTCAAAAAGAGGGAGTCCGCAGCAAAATGAGAGAGTCTGCAGTCTGAAGTTCAAAACTAAAGATATTAACAATAACGCGTGTGCTTTATAAAACTTTTGAAAATTCATGCGGTTGCACGTCTGCCAAATTGTCTTTGGACATTTGCTGAAAAAATACGGCAATTCCGCGAGGCCGTGCTCTGGAACTAACTAGTTAGTATAGCAGAATTTTCCGGGAGTTACACGGACTCACGCATATGTCAAATCAGGGAGTCCGACAGAAATTCAGGGAGTATTTGACTCCGGACTCGAGTTAATTTCACACCCTGCATTACAGCACACTACTGATGGTGTTCATCACTGCTTGTTGCCATGTCTTTATTTAGGCGTTTTCCAAAAAGCGTGGATTACCTACTCTACTCGCCAAGAATTCCATGGTCCAACCTGCAATTGGCCAAAGGGATGTACTTTCTTTTTATGACGTGTGGCTAATCAACAAGCTCTACTGCTCAGGTGCTGAATAGCTGCTATTGTTTTCATGTTTGACCATGCCCCATACATACCTGATTTGAAGCCTAGAATTGTTTGGGGGCATTTTTAGTCTCTCAGATTAAATTGCGAAAGCTGAAAACTAATAAACTCTTAAGATTTACAAAAACCATTCGTGAATGAATACAATTTCAATATGTTTAGAATGTATGATAGATTGGCTGCAGAAATTCTTGAATTTTCATGATTTTTTTTTTACATTTTCAAGAAACTTGTAGAAAGGCTGAACCCGTTTGTCAACATGAAGGATACCAACACCCTAATCATTGCAGTAACTGCCTCTGTCCTGCAGGATTTGTTGGTCCATTTTGTGAATATCTCGCACCATCCATAAATAGTAAGTATAGTCACTGTTAAAGAATTGAGAAAGTCAAGATAAGTTTAGATCATTGAAATAATAAAACTTTTATCAGCCCTGACAGTATATAATGAACTGATATAGCTCAAGTAGGGGCAGCTGAAGGAAGTAACTGTTTTTATCAGTGCTAGTTCGTATTTGTGCTGACTCGGACATGCTATCCACATAAGGTCAAGTAAATAAGGGAGAATTTATGCTTCAGCTGAAAATGGACGCATCATCAAGGTGGCCTGTAATGAAACTGGTGAGATAACTGAGAAGGAACCAGCTGGTGTTGAGGCCTGGTGGCTGCTTCAGGTAACTGTTATATCAAAACTACAGGAAATGGGGGAGACTTAATAATGCTGGAATGGCATATAGAGATAATTTCTGTTATAGGCAAGTAGATCAGTTATGCTCATAGGGTCTATGTCCCCCAGGGTACTGCCGGAACGTACCCTGGGTACGGTCCGGTATACCGGAACGTACCCTGGTCACTATTTGATATGGTTAGGATTAGGGTTAGGGAGTAGGCGTAGGTGACTCCCTAGACTCGTTAGTGGAGTAGGCGAGGTATGGTCTGGCATATTAGATAGTACCAGGGTACGTTCCGGTATACCGGACCGTACCCAGGTTACGTTCTGGCAGTACCCCGGGGGACATAGACCCTCTCAGCATCAGTTATTGTTAATATGATTACATACTATTGATTTGTATGCTATTCAAACAAAGCATGTTATGTAGAATGCACACAAAACATGAGAAAAACACATGAAAGGTAAACGTGATATTTAATGTGCACTAAAAACTGTGATAATCCACCATGCTATAAATTGTAAAGAAATTTGGCAATAACATGTCAGTTAAGAAACGATATGAAAGGTCACTAATTTTCATGAGTAAACTATGCTTCTGCTATAAATCGTTAAAGAAGATCGAAGTAACAGTAAAAGAAGATGTGCCGTATTTCAGTAGGGCATACGTATCTTCGTATGAGTGACATTTGTCGATTTATATATATACTCACTGTATTTCTGTTTATTATGTATTTTATTATCTGAATTTATTCCGGAGGCTTGATAACATCTCTGGGGATTTTTCTCTCTCCCGCACCTCTCTCTCTCTTTCTCTCTCACTTCTCTCTCGCTCTGTCCCTCCATCCCTCTCTCCCTCCCCCCTTCTCTCTTGCTATCTCATCTTTTCGCTCTCTTATTTCAGGGCCCTGCAAGTTCAAAGATAAGTCTGGCAAAGACTGGTATGGATATTGCTTACTATCAAGATTACACTTTGACGTGTCCAGACTGGCTTTCAATACACTACACAAATCTTGCCATTCCTAATGTTAGGTAAGCTAGAGGACATGCTAGGTGGATAAATAGCTATGCATGTTGCGACGAAACATGGTGTGATAATGTGAAGATTGGCTTCCCGTGAATAAGAACTATGCAATACAGGCCAACAAAAATGTAATATTGTTTCAGGGTATGTGGCAAGACGGCTCCAGATTGGGTAGGCGTCACCATGCGGACAGAAACCAATGAGATACTGTTTACGATGAAGGTCTCCTCTGCCGCAAGTGGGGGTTTCAGATACCGGTACACAGGTCAGTCTCTCCTCTGGCATCTGTCTATATCAGGATAAAGTTCAATGTAAAGAAAACCGTTTATATATATATATATACAGTGTTCCTCTTGTTATCAGGCCTTGGGTAAACTTGTCCCAAGATGGGGCCAAGATATGTCTTTGGAAAACAATCCTTAAGCTCGTTATAAAATATAATATTATACTGAATGTAATACAGAATACGGATAAATGGAACAGGATAACGTGATCGGATAACTTCGGATAACTTCGGTTAAACGTGATATTTACTGCAGAACAAACTAAAGTGAACGTTATAAAATAATCATAAACTTAAAAGCAAACTGACAATTATTTGCTTTTCAGTGGATTCTGAACATAATGAGTTTTCCAAACATTTTCAAAGCTAAACTTAAGTGAATTGCACACGGTGTGTATTTTACAGTGTGTGTTGTGTGTACAGGCCTAGTGTATAAGTAGGCATGTATGTGCAATTTGTGCGAAACGTGTTCATAGCTTAATCGGGGTATTTTTGTGGATCCCAACCTGTCCTGTTAAAGCCGAGACCACTATATACATGTACTATATAAATTGTACTATCTCAAGTAAAATACCATTATTGTGGTAAAAACTGTTTGTGTCATGAATAAATCCTTGTATTTGTAGATGCATACTCTCAGAATTCGACGTGAATTTCAAGTTTAAATGCAAAATTACATCGAATCGGTGTTATCCAAGAGATTATTAGGGCCCGATTATTACTTAATCATTGGCAGTTGATTGCTCGCCAATGAAGAAGGATCTGACTGAAACCCCAGAGCTTCCATGGGAATCGATGGAGCTGCATGTCACTTGGGGGGAATGGAGCAACTGGAGCCAATGTGACATGAGCCGGTGTGGCTGTAGGAGTTCGCGCATTCGCACAAGGATCTGCCATCTACCAAAGGGGTTCCACTGCAGGTAAATAATATAACCCAAGCCTTGTTTTCGCATTGTGATCTCGCACTCACTCTCTCGTCTTCTTCAACAATGGCATGAACCGGGGTGTAATTTCTTTGGTTGCTGAATAAAGAGCTAGGATTTTTTAGATGGCTGAATATACAGTTTTCCTTCCAAAAAAGCCCTGTGCTTATATATTTTGGACTATGTGCATGCATACTTGCATATGTGTGGTGCATGTCTGTAAAATGTGCTTTCGCATTGTGATCTTGCACTCCCTCGCTCGTCTTCTTCAACAATGGCATGAAATTCAGCAACCAAAGAAATTACACCCCGGAAAGAGCTAGGATTTTTTAGATGGCTGAATATACAGTTTTCCTTCCAAAAAAGCCCTGTGCTTATATATGTTGCACTATATATGTGCATGCCTACTTGCATATGTGTGGTGCATGTCTGTAAATAGTGCATACATACGTTTGTGTATTCTGTGTGTAAATTACTGCATGGATGTGTGTGTGCGTGCGTGCGTGCGTGCGTGCGTGCGTGTTTGTGTGTGCGTGCGTGCGTGCGTGCGCGCGTGTGGTGCGTGTGCGTGTGCGTGTGCGTGCGCGTGTGCGTGCGTGTGTGTGTCATTTGTAATGTCGTTTATTATTGCTTGATGCAGGGGGGAAGATCGACAGACTATCTCATGCGGGGAGTCATCTCAGTCCTGCAGCAACAGATTTCGTAGGCAGTGGTGTTGTAACAAGTGGATACTAAGGAGGAAACAGAGAAAGTGTATCTCCCCCACATTCCTTCTATCTAGGTATTTAACTGCAACATAATCTAAAAATACGGGTTAACACGACCACTGACGCTGATATGAAAAGCCAGACGTGAATGATAATTTTTGCATCGAATATAAATTCGGCAGTTTCCAATCATTAACAAAATGAAAAATGCTTCCAGCATTTCCAGTTATCATGGTAGTGTACCAGATGTTGGTGTTAAATTGTAAAAAAAAAAGTTCATTGACATTCCAGAAGCTCAAAATGTTCAAAAATGTGCCGATATGGGTGCGAGCGTTGGCTTTGTTTGTATATTCTTATACTAGATATGGAATGGTATTCTGAATATAAATATAATTATGCACCCACGTCATATTACCGCGTTGGGAATTTAATACAGCACGAAAAGTGCCGCAATTATGTGTACATGTACAAGACAAGTACAATTTGATAAAGGAAACGCATTCAATATACTAAAGAGTGATTATTAAAATCCGAGAGGGGGCAGCACCTACATTATATAGCGCGCAAGCCTGCCAATTATGCCCAAGACTACGGGATAACTGTTGAGCCAAGCATACTGATATTTTTATTTCTCATCACGTTATCACATGAAGATGTGTATGTCTAATTACATGCTGATATTGAATTGTAACCTCGATAGTTCTGTAGATATCATCAAAAGATGATATTCTGTGAATCCCATAGCATGTCAGTGTCAGTTCTGCCATCCCTGAAAGGTTATGTCAGTCACACACTGAAATACAATGCAGTTGTAATAGATTCTTAATCTTTGAAATAAGATGATTTTATGAAAACACAAGAGTAAGATTATTTTTGTGATATATCAATTCGTTTCAACTGTTGATAACAGTTTCAGCAATTTGTATTGTTGCTTTTCTCAAGCGTATTGAAGGTGCTTGTGCTCATCACCAGATGGCAGTAGGTGTCACAATAACTGAAAACGCAGTCAACTGACGTTGGTAGCGTCCTCATGTAAAGTTGAAAGGGTCCTATCCTTATGAACATTGTCGCGAATATGAGACAGTTTGTATGTCCCACCTTTGTTCATGTGTTAAGCATCTTTGCGAGCTCTCATAATTTTCTGTCCAGAAGGGAGCCCCAGTGGCGTAGCTAGGATTTTTTCAGCGGGAGGGGGGGCACTGGGGGGGCCTTACATTTTCGTGGGGGGCACAATATATACTGTTCTAACGGCATTGTTTTTACTTCAATTTTTTTTTATCAAGCATGAATTTTCAGTGGGGGAGGGCACCTGGGGGGGCACAGAAAATTTGTGGGGGGGCACGTGTCCCCTCAGGCCCCCCCATAGCTACGCCCCTGGGGAGCCCTCCTGGTCGAAAATCTTAGTTGCTAACCTGTTAGTCTTGGCTTATGTAGTTCTCCAATACGCGGGAAGTACGGTAGGCTGGGTTGGGGGGCCTTTGTCACCACCGAGGATTGTATGTCTTGTTTATGTCTCTTGAGGTCAGTTCGAAATTTTATTCATACTTTGCCCGTGTAAACACTTTCATTTCGTATATCAAGCCGCAGGAATCATCGCATTCTCTTTTGTTTTTGGGGTGTACCAGTAGGTTTCTCAGTGTAGAGTAGGGTTTGTATGGGTGGTGTTGAGCACGGGGTACAAGTGAGAAGCTCTTGGCAATTCTTTGATGTAAGATATGACCACCTGTCTTTTTTTGTATTTTCTGTTTTTTTTTATCCCACTTGCAGGCATTGTGGCCACAGTTTTTGTCCTACTCAGGACTGCTGCGCCCCTCGCAACTCACTTACGGGAGAACTACACAACACTAGGCGCACAGGCAAACTAGAGAGTCTATCTAAATTTGCAAAAAGCACAGAAAACGTGCACAAGGACGCACGGTCATACAAAACTATCCAATATCCATGACAATGCTCATAAGTCTAGGTTTCACCCACCGAACCAGAGGAATGCCACCGACATGAGCTTATTGTGTTTCTGACTTGTCACCTGCTACTAACTGGTGACATGTTCAAACAAATAAAATAAGCCCATGGAATGAACTGGAATTTCAAAAAGGACAAAGTTTTCAGGTCTGAAAAATCCAGGAAAATAGGCTATGGTTCTGGAAATTCCAGAAAATAGGTTATTATTATTATTATGTTTGGTCCAGGAAAGTCATGGAAAATTAACCCATGTCTATTGTGTTCACATTTTACCAACGAAAATAACAAGTTTAATATACTGAAGATATGTCCATGCTTACTACCTGAGAGGCAATAAAACTTTTGTTCACTAATTGTTGGTAGCATGATACGACGTTCACAGTTTGTATCTGGCCTAAATCTCTGGGTCCTGGAAAATTGACTTTTTAAACTCGGTAAAAATTCTGGAACGGTCCTGGAAATGTGTTGTCTTCGTTATACGGACCCTGCACAATCTAACACGAGAAACAGCGTTAGGAACTAGTTTAATTTTCTTTGCCAATGATATTTTCTTACACATGTGCTTATATGTCTGGTCCGCACCACATGCAGGAACGAAGTGTCCCAGCTCTCTCACGAATGCGCATACACACACGCATATACACACACACGCATGCACACATTTTGTCATCTGAACCGCAGCTAAAATCTGACATGAGTATCGATAATAGACCGTGGTACACTGCGTAGTGCCTGTCTTTGGGATTTTACCAAACCTTCCTGCTCCACAAACCCTCTAACCTTGTGGTTAGTTGTATGCACAGGTGAAAGACAAGAATAAGCTACCTGTAATTAAGGGATTTCTGCCTGCTGTGACCCATGCAGGACCATACGGTGCACAAGCAGTAAGAACTACAGGTAGAGCGAAGAAACGCGGGTGAATGCATAAGGCGTACGAGCAGGGTCATACATCGCATAGCGTGTCTGGAGTCGAGGGTGTGTCTGTTTGCGTGCGAGAAGTTAGTGTGCGGGGGGGGGAGGCGTTCGCGCGTGCGGGCGTTCGCGCGTGCGGGCGTTGCGTACCATGGAACACGTCTACACCCGATCTTTTGAAGAAGCTATACGTAACATGAATGGTGTTTACGAAGTCATCGTGTTAAAAGCGCATTCAATATGACAACGGTAGAATTACCGGAGACATGACACGCGTATGAATCCTGGACAGCCCAGCTCGTGCGTCGTAGGTACTATAGGCTGTCACTGATCGCCGGTACAAATAAATTTGGCGGATTGTTTCTTACATGTCTTCTTGTAGCCAGCTGTCGCGTCGTCTGCATTAGTTTAGCACGAAAGCTTCGTCACACCCCCATAAAGATACTTCTGTCGAGCGTCATGGCTGAAATGTCACTGACGAAACTCGGTTCGCATTTATCGCACCACCTTAATTTAATGTTAGGGATAATATCATGTGCCGCTGCGCGCATGGGGGCGTATTTACATACACATACACACACGCACGCGCACGCACACGCACGCACGCACGCGCACGCACGCATGCACGCGCACATATATTTTTTGAACTGTTGATTGTTGTGTGTAGCGCGTGGTCGTGCGTGTGATGTGGGAGGCTCCCTATTTAATGAAAGACATCGCATTTGGTTGCGGGTGTACGGAACAGCAGCACCACTCCTTTTTCGATGCCAGCGAGCGCACTGCAAGACCGCGTGCGCATTAATTTATCATGTCGTTTACCCTGTCGCTAATTCGGCTGATTCATGCATTCTGATCGCGTTTCCTATCGTCATAACAAATCGGCGTCGTTTTACAAAATGAGCCAATTAGGGCGTTTTTTGGAGGAGACGCTATATGCTATTTAATGATGACGTAACAGTCACCTAGCGCAGCGCCGACGGCATTGTCGTTGGCCGTGAAGTTAATTAATTAGTGACTTCGTTAATCGTTCGATCGGACGCTCGGCGTTGGTCAGTCGATCGGTTGGTTGACCATTGTTCAGCTATAGGCATCGGCAATCGACGCCCTCTAGCAGTTTATATTACGCTATTGCGGATCTGAAGGAATGCATCATGTTTGCGCTGGAATAACAAGAGATTGTGCACGCTTTGGGCGTACGTCGTTATTTTGACACACAGTACCGGAGTAAGCTCGAGAGATTATTAAGCGTCTGTTCACACTTCCATAATGTGACGTGCATATAACGTCTTCATTTTCGCGTGCCGGCTGAAGCCTGACTGTAAGCGTGTAGGCACGCACATGATGACGAATTTCTCTATGTAGACAGATAGATATGTGCAGACGAAGGACGAGAGCGTACCTCGCACAATCACAGTATGGTCTTTAGCCGGCCGTGTTTGTGGAACCACAGAGCTTGCGTTTACTATTTGAACATCATGTTCGCTTCCCATGCATATCTTATCTACTTGTCTGATGGATAGAATAGCGCAGATTCTTATACATATCAGTTCGCGAAGCGTGTGTAGGGAGCGACAGCCGGGCCGCGTTGTGGCACGAGTCCGTCGCAGCGCATGCAATCGCGTGCGTGTTGACTATACCGACAAAATTTCTTCCCCTTATATTCGAAAGGTAAATAAACGCGCGACGGTTGTAAGGCCCGTGAGTGTCAGTGTGGCGGCTCACTATCTCCGGCGCGTGAAAAACAACGTTAAAGGCGTACATGCTTATGCGTACAGGGACGCCGAAGGTCAAAAGACAAACGTCTACGCCGTGTCCCCGCTATCAGGTGGCGGCCGCATACACAGTACAAGATCAACACGCATGTATATTCTTGTCAGGATATGCGGTTCACACAGGCGTTATCGGCCTATTTCAATCAAACTCGCAGACGCGCACGCACGCTGTACTTTTAGCGTTCACGATGATTTCTGATTCTATTCAGTCATATGAATAAAATGCGTGAGCATAAAAATTGTGAGCAGCGTATGTGATATATATATACATA